ATGAGTTAAATGATGATGTTTGTATTAAGTAAATGTTGGTAATAATCATTCAATGGTCAAACATTGATTCAAAGGAAATTGCTATGTCAATCAGGTCGAAAAATATGCACTTTCAAGTAATTCGTTGGTGAAGATTTTTTCTATGTCTAAAATTCTTAAGAAATAAATTTATAAAGCAAAGTATTAGTCTATACTGTCATTTAAAAATTTCATTCAAGGTATGGTGATTATCAAACATTCCCAAAGCTATTTGGGGAACCTCAAACTGATCTCCAGCTTTCAAATCGTGAAAGTTACATGGAGGTGGACACAGAGTACTTGTTATAAATCATGCACTCGTCCAAGGTCTAGAATAGTTGAAAAGCTTGTGGTAACAGGTGTGGGAGTTCCTACGGAATTCTTGAGTATGGTGTAGACGAATTTTTTACTCGTACTGTAAACATTGGGTACACAGAGAGCTCCTTTACCTGCCACTTTAGGTAAAACGAAACAACATAATTGCTATGGCGTACTTATAATTCTTGCTATTTTCTCCTCTCTCACCTTGATTTCCCTAGAGACAGGTTTCCACTTTACATCGTCTTCGTTTGTTTTGGCTGTTAATTTCTCATTTTGGGCTATTTATTCCGACGCACAAGTCTTGATGTGATGTTCACATACGGTTCATCTTGTGACGCTTTTCTTCCCGGGCAATGGCAAAGAAATAAAAATAGCTTTGGAATTGGGGAGTGGGAAGAGGCGCCAGTCATTCTTTTTAAAGAATTGTTAAATACACCACGCACACCACACCACACCACACCTCCCTTCCCCAACACTCCCCCATAGCATCTATCCCTCCGCACTTGTGGCCTTGGTGCGACCCAACGGACCCCTACCCTTCCTTGGAAGGGCACACTAGATTCCACCACCCTCAATGTTGGTGATGTTTTAGACGTTGGTTTGTTGTGTGGTGGTGGCATTTGTGCGTCGTTGCCAGTGATGGTGTGTTTAATAAAAAATGTGGTGTATTTGACAATTTATTATTATATATTTTACTAAATCAGATACACAATTCTTTTCATTTTAAGAGATTATTGAGTTATGAATATATACCTAATTTAGTATTATGTCTTACTATCACTCTTTTATTTTGACTAGGGCTTTATTCGCTTCATGTAGCCGCTTAGAGTTGGGCACATATTGATTGAGACTATTATTCACATGATTTTTTATATCCTAAGTGATAAAGGTTTTTCACAATGTTTATGTTGGATCAGTTTTTGACTACTTCACTCCTAAGGGAAAAAAAATTTGGCTAACAAATGCACAAAATTTATAATTGGATTATTACATACGCGCACATGAAACATTTAAGTATATTAACATTTGTAATTTTGAGGATTGTACAAGCTAACGTCAGTACTTTTGTACATACTTTTGTACTTTTGTACTTTCTTGATAAACCCTATAGATTTGTAAGAGTGTCCAGTATCCTAATTATGCTTTATTGTGGATGTTTATGTCACTAGGATTTTACTAAGGACATAAACAATATTTTATAATTACATTTGTTCCAATGGCTCTCTTGTCCACTTTATATCAAAACTCTGTTGAATATTTGCTCGTAGTTTGATTGTTAAGAACGTGATTTCATGGGCTAAATTGCATGCAATTAATTTTAGATTTTTCAAGATTGGAAACTATTTTATATTTTGAAGTATACTACAAGAAAGAAAGAAAAAGGCTGATTATCAAAAAAATTGAGACAGGCAGTAAAAGAGAAATTATCTACTTGTTCAGCCATTGATATTTCAAATTTTGGTTGAGTGGGATGATGTAATAATTTGACAGAATATATATAGGATATTAGAATTTAAACACAAATATTAAGTCACATTAAAATATTACTTTTGATTTTTGAATTCATTCACATAGAGAAGAAGTTTCATTCGAGAGATCTAAAAATGTGTGGAAGGATAGATTTATCAAAGTTATTGCGTATCATAGTATGAAAAGTTATTGCGCAATTTGCCACATTCGACACCGTTGCTATCTTCTTGGTTTGTGACTCAGTATAGGTGATTCTTAAGGGACGTAGATGAGTTTTGTTATGGCAAAAGAAACAGACTTATTTCCTTAGATTACAACATGAGACCTTTTTCCTTTTTTCAAAGCAGGCAATACATTTAATATTGTATTGCCTGCTTTGAAAAAATTACTATTTAATATATATATTTATTTATATATTTATTTCTTGGTGGAACTGATTATTACTCAAAACATTGAGTCTTGTATTTGTATGCTCTTGCGCTGGCCAGGAGCATGTTTGTGCTTCTCTGCTTGACGATGTACTAGATTTATCTTATCTATGAGATTAATCTATATACATTTCCCTAACTCACATTTAGTGTGAAAGGGTCACATACATTATTGCATGTTCGTAGTACACAAGATTACTATCCATGATATTATTGTGGATGTGATGTTTGCTATAACATAAGAAGGTGGATATAACAGTTGTAAAAATGTGAGATATTTAAAATATGGATATTTTAATTAAATATTTCGGGATTTCTTATATTCATATTTTTGGGCCCTTGCCCCATCTTACCGCATGGTTTCAACCTCGAAGAATATGATGGGATTTTGCCATTACTTTTATTATATTCCTTTCTAATAAGATTGTCATTAGACTAATGGCAGTTGCAGCGTTAGAATTGACCTGAACACAAGTAATGGACATTGCTTGGAATAAGGATGTGGTGTGATGCAAACACTTGATGTACATGTTTTACATCTAGGGATCGGTACAGCCCAACCATGAAGGTACAATTTTTAAAAGGAGCCAATTCACAGGAGAACAGCCCAACCGCAAGGTCAACAGAAACGGAAAGTTATCATGTCGCTTGTGACATATAAATATGTCATGCAAATTTGCAAACATAGCATGCAAAGGCGTTGACAATGAGCGCGTGGTTTGTTCTTTTTTTTGTATAGAAGTAGGGGCTTCTGGGGATTGTGAGGTTCCGACTTCGCAGTGGGACTGAATGTGATACGAGGGAGCTGGGAACTCCGGGGGAATGCAGGTCAGTCGTTAAACTGTGATTCAAAAAGCGTTTCAGTTGGGAGTCTTCATAACCCAGTGAAGAATATATCGCCTTCGGCCGAACAAATTTTTCAACACCATACTTGCCACGGTAAAGGTGAACCTTCAAATGAGTCCGATGGGCTTTCTTGGCACTATTCTAATATGATTAGGGGTTACTTGTCTGCCATCTGCACACAACTTTCTAGCGGAAGAAGCGACGATTTCCCCCACGCGATCAATCAGATATAGAAAAGAGCGCATGACTAGCATTGCAGAATACGTCCTCCATGACACTGCGCTAAGGAAAATATGTGGATGAGTTTAAGCGTCAGCCCCACGACTTCTTTCGGCAGGCAGGAAAAGCTTCTTGGTCGTGTTTTGCATGAGTGTTGGGTCCACATTCTCGGACGGGATGATAACCAGCAAGTGAGTGGGTCAAATATGTGCTGCACGTATTGGACGTAAGATCGCTTCGTCACTCGATCGCGAAACCTTTTTCTTTCTTAATGACTTTCTTATTACCCCTGTTTTTCTACGTATCAACTGACCCAACCCCGAGCTCTATTCATGCTTTCTTCCCTTCCTTGAACACGTCTACTCCCCTCGAACTACTCCTCTGTAAGACTGTCATGAGTGGCATCGACGGCGACAGAAGTGCTCGACCAACATACTTACGTGCTCCGCATTAGAATAATAAGGTTGCACTCGGAAGCCGTGCAGCATTCCATGCTTGTGCTTGGGGGTTCAAATCATGGTCTGCACTACTGAATTGCTGCAGTAGAATGTGAGTTTCACATTCTACTGCAGTTCCGTCCACATGCAATGCACGAAGAGCTCCCACAGCCTTTCGGCCTGACATCTGTATGGCCACGGATGCAAGAGAGGTACGGCTCATGACTCGAAGGTTCGATCTCTCCAAAAACATTTCCCGTGCATGGAAAGCGCAATTCGCAGCAGGACCAGGTCCATGGGCCTCTCTCGAACACCGAACAGTCCTCGATGTCTTGAACCTCGGGACGAAGGGCACTCCGGAACCGACATTGCGAATTTCGAGGAATGAGTCCAGTTCGTTGCGAGACCTGGAAGCCTCCGAACATCGACGGTTTCATCCCAACCTCGTTGAAATTTCGACAGCTGTTGCGAATGTTATCGACATGTGCAGATACACAGTGACCACTCGCGCGCCCCCTGCCAGGCTCGACGGCCCTTTTCCGCGAATCCGAGCAGTTATGAGCATATGCAGATCGAGCACTGTCAGGGCCAGCCCGCAAGCGCCTGCGGGAAAAGTCGCGAGTCTATCGGACTCTATCCTCTAGAGCGGGGATTCGGAGTCGGAGAGAATCTCCTGGAGCTCGCCACTTTCGGCCGCGTTCTGTCTCGATGCCTGCAGGAGGTTGAGAAAATCCGAGAAAAAGGTGACCCGCATCGGCGATGAGGGTATCGAAGCTGGTGCCGAAGCATTGGCCTGCGAGCGCAGATCGATGGCGCGAGCACGCCCGCCTTGCAGTGCGGCATGTTTGCCGCGCAAGCACTGGTAGTGCTCTCGAGTTGGTCGTCCACGGGTGAGAGCTGCGCAAAGGTGAGATTTGGAGCCTAGCAGGGCGGAGGGTAGCCAAATTAAGCGGGGGCCGCTGTGGCTGAGAATTGGAGCAGCTGACGTCGGGTTCTTCACCGCAGAATTCCGCCGTGCCAGTAACGCTGCTATATGTAGACGCTGCTCAAGCGCCCGTGGGCTGTGGCTGCTGCGCGTCCCGAGCAAGCACTAGGGCCATCTGCGGTCAACCTTGGAGGCCCGCAGGCCCCGAAGGATAACGATGTCATGATGGTGGGGCAGTCGGTCGGTCGTGCAAGGCGACGAACGCTTCTCGAAGCGCACTCCAACGCCCCCGCCCCTCGCTCGACGAGATGGCGCCAGGCCGCTCGCGCTGGACTCGGTTTAAATCGGTCCCGAGCGTTGCTCTCGCGCTCAGGCGCGGCGGAACGGCCCTCTCGGCGGTGCGCACGTTGGCACCGGGTGCCCCCCGAAGTTCGAAATGTCATGGCGTCCGAGGCGAGCGATGCTGCTGGCACTGCTGCTGCTCTGCGCGGGCTGCCTGCTCCGATTCGGAGCCGGCCAGGCCGAATCCGATGACGATGCCGGCCTCGAGGCGGCCGAGGCCGAGTCCCCGAGCGCCTCCATCCCCCTCGAGCTGCAGCTGCCGCAGGGGCGGTCGACGGAGCTGGCGCTCTTGACCGCGGCCGATCCGGTGGTGAACGGCACGAGGACCGCGTACATTTTGCAGTCCACGACGATTCAGTTCCACCTCGTGCTCCAGCTGCAGGACGTGGGCAACGAGTCGTTCTGCTGGATGGCGGTGATCAACGCGGTCAAGCCCTCGGAGCTCGCGTGGCGAGCCCCGTGCGCTCCCGTCAAGGCGACGAGCTGCTGCGTCCGCTTCACGACTCGGGGCGACCTGCAGCTCTTTCTGCCCGAGACGATGAGCGTGGCGTGGCAGACCAACACCTCGGACCGGGGCGTCAAAATCCTTCGACTTTTGGACTACGGGACCTGGCTTCTTCTTCGAACGCACACGGAGGTCGTATGGCAAACCTCTCAGCATCCTGTGCCGAAGAACTGCTTGATCCCGGGGCCTATCTTGATGGACAATGCTTCTCTCTACGCCCCTCCCTCTCCCCTAGCCGCCGAGTCTGGGAACTGCTCGAGACACGGTTCTCTGCTTGCCGTCTGTTGCCTCATCGGTCTGGTCGTGGTCTTTCTCGTGTTCTGAGCATGTCCGCTAGAATTCTTCGCGTCATCCGATTCAGAAGCTCGTGGAGAACTTCCGCTGGTGCAAGTACGGTTTTTCCGCTCCTTGCGGGCGTTCGACACACTGAGGGATGAAAATTTCGGGCCTCTACGTAAAAATCCATCTCAAACCTAGCTCTTTGTGCACGGGGTTCCCTGCGTGAACTTCCGTTTGAGTTCTGCTTGCGATCTCCGACGAGGTGGAACGAAGGCGAGTGTGGAATCCCTGGTGCAGATGAGGGTGAGGAACGAAATAAGGTGTCACACACAATCTCGTTATCAGTATTCCTACCCGGCTCAAATTCTTACCTTATGGAGATTGGGCAGTTCCATCTCCAGCTGCATGGTCGAAATCTATCGTGGGAGGGAGGACCACTTCCGAAATTTTGAAGATCATGAAGCGAGCAACGTCCAACTTTTATGTTCGAAGATCTGATCAGCCTGAAGGTTGGTCCGCCTGCGGAATGCGGCGGCGGCGGCGGCGGAGCGTCAATAGTTGAGGCTAGCTACCCTGAGGAAGCAGGAGGGCTAAGAAGGCCATCGAAGGTAGCAGATCAATGAAACAAGAGTCGTGCACGCTTCGTGTTGTGCACGGAAGGACGTGTACGCCATGCGGACCTGTCGAGCTCTCCAACCTCTCAAAGTTTGGGATGCTGGACTTCCCCTTCAGTTTCGTTGTCGACTGTTATTCAAAATGGGAACAGTACGTTGTAGAGCTCGTCTCATATATTCTGTCATTGCGGATTTGAGTGACGATTAATTTCTCCGACGATTGTGAAGCGTAGGACTTTAATCGTCACAGCATTAACTGCACTTAATGAACGAATGACCTTTCAGCTCTGGATTGTAGCTTATGTTGATCGATTTGTACAGCATCAGCCTGAAGATCATAACGAATTTTCGACCATATACTGCTAATTCGAATTTTTTAACTTCATTAGTTCGTCCGAAAGTTGCCAATCTTCGGCGAAAGCCGAGGATGGAAAGTATTGTAGAGCTGTCGACTGTTTTAAACGATAGTCATCAGACAATTCGTACGTAATAACCTGTTTGTGATTGAAGATGTGAGGAGAGAAGTGTGGATAGATCTGCATGTCTGGGAATACTAGGGAACATCGTAGACTGGTCGGATGAACTGTCTCGTAATGCTCAATATTGTGTCAAAATATCAAAGTCAAATCCGACTTAATAACCTAACGATAGTAACGTCGATGTAAATATCTAACTACTCCATATGCAATACATTGAACCATAATCATAAGTCTAGTTCATCAAACAACATCATAAAATCTGGTTGGAAAAATAAGTATATATCAAAGATAAATTTGTTGAAAAGAATAGAAATTTGAGTTGAACGAAAACATTAAATGTTACATCAAGCAAGTGTCTCGGAGATATGTACCCGATGTTTAGTTTAGTTTTACCGCTGGGACCCCAACGACGGTGTGCAATCGGACATAGTTTTTGTAACTACGATTACTACTAGTTACAATGCAGGAATTACAGTCAGAGATCAATCCCTGATTATAATTTCTGGTGGATTATCACGGGGACAAAGATCGATTTTGCTCAAAATGTAATTTGTTATGTTTCAATTCTTCCGACCGCAAAGATTCGCGGATTTCTATGTTGACTCCCACCTGCACACACCTTGCGTAACCCTGCTCAAGTCTCACGATCACCCATTTGTGGCGAACAAATAAAACCGGATGAACATTTCTTTTTTGTCTCCTTGGAGAGTGGCCGGATACAGAATGACAACATAAAAACAACTGAGTGTGATGGATCGCGAAGTCCACTCTGTCTGCGGGTGCGGTGGATTCGTTGCACTCTCTCTACTTGTTATTAGAACATGGGTGACGGTGCATCGTTCATGGGGTCCCATCGGGTAAAATGAAACCTGAAGTGTCCCATCAAGCAAATTACTTTCCACAGAGTTCTCATCAAGCAAATCTCTCAACACAGTATATGTAGGTCAAACATATCTACAAAGTGAAATTTAATCCATTACTTTTCAAAAGAAATACTCAATGATTAAAATTGAAAATATAACACGAATGACACCTTCACTCTTAGATAAACTCTGTTATATTTCTAATTCTTAATTTTATCAATTTCTTAATTTTATCAGTATAAGATAAAATTTTAAGAACAGTTATTAAAATATAAGTCATATGATTATGATAATGTGTGAAATGATGAAAGGAAAAAACCTGGATGAAATTTTTCCTTTCATAATTGTATCCAATTTCATCACTTGAAGAAAATATTTTTCAATAAAACTGCAATTTCTCAATTTTATGTTGACATAGAAAAAAATAACCTTATCTACATTATTTTGATGGATCTAGGAAACAATATACAGTGAAAACTATAGTATTTCAAAAATAATTTAATCTACTCATAAATTCACGTGGTACACCTGTCTATAATATAGACAGGTGAAATATTATTTCATAAAATGTTTTTAGAATTATGATTGCTCATTTTGATGTTGAATTCTGTTCAGTTAAATTGAAGTAGATGGACTGTGTTCAGTTTAAAACACATAACTCAGAAGATAAGAGAATTTAAAATAAGAAGAAAAGCAGAAGAGGGAAGCTTGCATGAAGAAAAAAAACAATGACAACAAGCAGAGATAAAAGAACATAGACTCCATTCATCACATCTTACATGTCAAAAACTTCAACAAAACTTTGCATTTATGTTGCATTTATGTTGAAAAAAGCACAAATTATGCTCAATGCAAAGATTTAGTTAAAGCACAAACAGTCTTTTCTTGTTTAGATTAGTGTTCGACTTTATTAACTTAGAGTAAAACATGTATCAATTTTCCAAAAAGATCGAGGTTTAAATTAGTAGAAATGATATATGCATTAATTTTCCAATAAAATTGAGGTACAATTTAAGCACAATGAGTAGGGCTCCGATCGGTTCGGGTCGGGTTTGACCTTCAACCCGAACCCGACCCGAAAAACCGGGTCGGGTTCGGGTCGATTTGGGTAGAATCCGGAAGTTGAAGTGTCACTGCGTCTCTCGTTTCTTCTTGGACCTCTGTCGATGGGTCTCGCATTTCTTGGAGCTGGCTATGGAGTATTTTGCGATGATCGAAGTGGGGAGTGATGCGAATGCCTTACCTTGATGCCCTGCCGAGGTCACTGTATGCCTTGTGTTTATTCTTTGTTGCCCGAGGTTTCGACTTTCATTTCCTTTTGGGTAAGGGAGAGATTGCGTCTAGTCTTCGTTATTCAGAACAGGAGTTCGAACAGGAGCTCGGATTATTCGTGCGTATTCGACATCCGAGGGAGCACCCATGTTTAGTTTCGGTTGCCCAGAGCGGGGACGGGACGGTTCGATCGACCGGATTGCAACCCAGTTGTGGAGAATTTTTTATACAGCCTAGGGGCTGTGAAAAAATTCCGCGCTCGGAGCATGTGAGAAATATCTCTCATGAGATCACAATTGCCGTCATCAAACGCTCGCGTAGACTCGCTCGAGCGAACACGCTCCGTCGTACGATAAATGGCTCGCAGGATCTCGGCGCCGAGGACAAGTCTCGGGCTGGGAATTTCAGCCTTGTAAAATATGGCCTTCGAGCTGCTAGTTTCTCAGAACAAAATTCTTCACATAGTGTCACTTCGTTGACGTTATCAACTTTCGAAGCCACTACGAAATTACTGTTGACTACATTCACGAACACTACGTCTGCCTCAGAGAAAAATCGGCGAGAAAGAACACAATAAACGAAAGAAATAACGTCTGTCTCACTATCTAATGCAGATTAGAGCCCTTGAGTGAAACTTGCGGCTTGTATCACATAATTTGCACAGAGTTCGTGCAGTATATGTCCCTTCTTGAAATCTTTTGTTTCACTGTTCCGATCGCTCATGGCTGGCTGCTCACTCATAGACGCGTTGCCGTAGACGCTGCTTTCAAGGTCGACACATTTGAGACGGGAAGATATTTCAAGTACCGCCCGCGGCCTCTGCTGGGATGCCGATCGATTCTACATCCTCTGCCTGGCCTGTCTTGGCTGCGCATTTGCATAGCTGATCCTCAGATTCAGAGTTTTCAAATGGCGACAAGGTAGAGATGGATTCTCTTCTCTCTAATATTGGATTTCAGATACCATTCACACTCGTTTGACAGGAAAACTACGATCCAATTTTTGAAAACCTTGTAGACTTTCTCAATGTAATCTCTTTAAATTTTCAAAAGTCGTCCCTGTATAAGTAATCTAAGTCCAGCATTTCGTCCGATCCAGGCTTCCAAGGAATTATAGAATCCATTCTTCTACGCTGCAAAATCCCAGCCCTCCTTCCAACATTCTCGAGCTTTCCTGTGAAAGGAGGGCCCGCTTGCCGATTTCCTTCACGCCCTCACTTTCTCCTCCACATCTGCCGCACGGCGCCGGAGAATCCGAGCTCCATAGATTCTCAGCACCTAAAAATCCTCTGTAGCATTTGAACGCCACTGGCAGTGGGCTGTAGCCTCGATTTGAATTTCAAGGTCACCGAGCCTGCAGGTAAATGACAGCCTTCCCTTTAGGATCGATCATTCGAAAGAATGACAACCTCCCGCAATGACTTTCAAACAGGCCTCGCGGGTGAAACCTAACAGACCCTCAATTTCTTTAACCTCTAGGTTTCGAGTCCGGTACTACCCGAACCCGATCGGAGCCTTAACAATGAATATTAGTTGTATAATAATTACTTATTGAAATAATGATTCCAAATAAATCAAAAATCCATTTGATACTTATGATGATATATGAATTTTTTTTCCATTCAAATCGAGATTTTATTTTTCATAAATATAATGCATATATCATTTTTCACTTAGTTTGAAGTTTCAATTTCTGGAGAAAAGTGATACATGTGCCATTATTTTATTAAGATAAAAATTTCATCTTTTGAAAACCAGCATACATACATTAGCTTGTAGATTTTGTATGTGCTCACAAATGCATGTTTGAAAGATGAATTGAGATTTATTTACAAAAATCATATGTATATATATATATATATATATTCAACTTCCACTTCTATTAAATCATGAATGACGTTTGTAAAACATGATTTAACATAATGACATTGAAAAAATAAAAGATATTTGGTGATGAGGAGTTTGTAGTAAAATTTGAATAAAAAAATTTCACAAAATTTATAAACTTCACTCACAAGGTGATCATATAAAAATGTCATGATCAGTGAGCATTTTTATCTTGTCTATAGTTCTTTCAAAGTATAAAACAACACATGAAAGGTTATTATTTGGGCTAACTATTTTGCACATACAAAATCATTATAACTAAATTTTATATTATATAAAAAATCAGCATGTAAAAATTATCATACATCAAGAAAAGTGTACTTAATAAATATTTTTTATTTAAATTGTCCACAAAAAATATTTTAATAATCACATTATTTTAAAGCAATTACAAACTAATGTAACTCATTCTTTGTTTCAAACATACTGAACAGTTTTGATCAAAGTTTACCTCTCAAGGTTCTGAAATTCCTTAAACTCTATGCCTAAATAAAAATTTTAATTTTAAAAGTTTTAAACAACATGTTAAACTTAACATCACAAGAATTGATTTCAAGTATTATATATTCTACGTGGAGGAGCATTTATCCAACTGCTGATGTTCCGACATAAAATAGTTATATGAATTATTTTATCAACATTTATTCTTTTATTATCTTCTATTCATGTGAAAAATAACTATCTTTATTTCATATCATTAATATTTATATTAAATTAAATTAAATTTTATTACTATTAAATCAATAATATGAAACTATAATTATTTAATATATTTTAATACTACTTTTCTTTGAACTATTGTTAGATACACAAACATTAATTTTAAATTTTGAAATTTACTCATTAAATTACATACTTAAATTTA